CCAATATAGCAAGTCTATTCTCTTTTCCTTATGTGAGGCTCTTTCTGAGAAGTCCTCTGTAGTGACTTCACTAGCCCACTGTGTTCTCTCCTTCTCTCCTAAGATGCTAAGTACATAGGCAGTGCTCAGCCAATATTTACTGGATTAAAGATAGAGAGTCCTTTACCTCGACTTTCACCAAACGTTTGCTCAGGGAAGGGGTGGCAGATGAAGCAGATTATTATTGACAGGAGAATGATTGCCAAGGACCAGAGAAGAGAAGCATAAGGAAGAGTGTTAATGGGACTGGACTGATCCCTAGAGGGTTAGGAGGGAAGACTGGGTTAATGGGATGATAAACCTTGGGAGCAAAGAGAAAGGGAAGCGTGTTTTCATGGGGAGGGCCATAATTCATTAAGCTGGGAAAGGAGTAGCCTCTCTAGTATTAAAGGAGGTAAAGATAAGGGTGGAGTCGTCATCCCATGAACCCACCCCAGGGGACTACTATTGGTCACCCATTGGATTTACAGGGATAAATGGGTAACTTCTGGGGCCAAAAGGGAGTAGGATGTCATTGCAGGCTCTATTTATGCTGAGGAGAGGGAACATTTCAGGACTCATGGGAAAGTGGCCTGACTTTCTTGGGTAATGGGAGGGGGCTGCCAACCCCCAAGGCAAAAGGGATAGAGAGGCCATTTCAAAAAAGGTACAAGACACAAAGCCTGTATCTGTGTCTCATGAGAGCAGAGTAGTTTTGCCCAGGGCTAATGGAACAAACATCCCATGGGGTGAAAAATACAGGGGCAGCCATTACTAGGGGTCTAGGATGAGGTGTAGGCATGTCTTAGATTAAAGACCTCGGGTACTGTCCCCAGAATTGATGGGGAGGGAGCAGTCTATTTCCAACTGCGAGGACGATGGGGGAGGGGCGGAGGAAATGGAGCGACCATTCCAAGGGGCCAACCGGGATAAAATTGATTACCCTTCAGGGATGGTGGAGCGGACATCTAGAACTGAGGGGGAGAGAACGACCATCTCAAGGAAAGGGGATGGGTAGAGATCTGTCCTCCTCAGGTGACAGAGCAGCCATCTTCTGGGGCCAATGGGGAAGGAGAGGATGGTATCCCAACCGAAGGTATCGAAGTGGACCCAAAGCGGGCTGTTACCCAGAGTTTGCAGGTCCTGGGATCCGCCGGGCGGCTCGTTTCCGCCTGGCGGGAGGTGCCGGGCGAGCTGTCAGACAGCCCTTCCCCAAAGCTCGGGACCCCGAAGGCGGGGCCTGTCCCCGACCCAGGCCTGAGGACCGCTTCCTCTCACCTCCAGGGGCAGTGAGTCCGCCATCGCATCTCTGCCGTCTCCGCCCCCACGCAAGGCTTTCTGGGAAGTGTAGTCCCACCACCTCTAGGGCGGGGCCTGGGAAGGAAATGAATCCACTTCCGTTCAGAATTCTGACGACTTCGGTCTGTACCGGAAGTTCATGGGCTGCCGATGTGGTGTCTACTGACTGCGGTTCTAGTTACTCGCCCTTGTTTCCGTGGCTGAGTATTTGCATCGCACCATGGCGGTAAGGAGGGTGGGTAGGGCGGGATCCGCACCGGCAAAGCTTTCCCGGTGTTGGGAAAGTGAAAACAGGAAGGATATGAAGGCGTACGGCACTGGGCCTGAGATGGGCCCTATCCAATGGACTGTGCTAGAGCGAGTGGGGCGCGGGGAGAGTAGCAGCGCAGGAACATGCCAGAACTACTGTAGGAGGTGGGGGCGCAGTTGTCAGTTCCAGATCTGAACTGCTCCCCCAGAGGCTGGAGAGAACGCCATTAAGTTCTACTGGAATTCTCCCGGAGAGGTCCTCAGACCAAAGCTGAACCTTACCAGGACAGCCAAAGAAGATATTAACGTCGTTTGTATTGTTTCAGGGAGAGCATTACACGATCGTAGCTGGGGGTAGTGTAAAGATGGTGTCCTGACCATAGGGGTTGGATGGATGAGAGTGGTAGGCATCTCAGGGATTGCTGGGTTTGACAAAGCACGATAAGGACCTCGTTGAGGTGCAGATAAGTAGGCTGGTACGAGGAGTGAGGACGATCGAGGCAAACAGCTCAGACAGCATCTCACCCTCTCTCTGCAGCCCAAAGGCAAAGTGGGTACAAGAGGGAAGAAGCAGATATTTGAAGAGAACAAAGAAACTCTCAAGTTTTACCTGAGGATCATACTGGGAGCCAATGTAAGTTACTTGCCTGTGTTTTCTATGCTCTTTAATAGCTCCACTGTCCCCAGACCTACCTGATTAGGAGTGCTGGTAAGTGACAGCCCAAGCTCCCAAAGAGAATATTGGAAAGAAATGAGAAGCCAGGCATGGAATCACAAGCCTGTAATTCCTGTATTAGGGAGACTGAGGCATGAGGATGGGAAATTTGAAGTTTGCTTTGGTCTACCCAGCTCAAAAAAAGCGGGGGAGGGGAAATGAGAGAAGCCAGCCACAGGGGTACATAACTGTACTTCTAGCCGCTTGGAAGACTGAGGCCAGAGTGTTCAAGGATAACATGAGCAACAAAGCAAGACTCAAGTCGCAAGGAAAGAGAAGTGAAAACACAAAGTATAGCTCAGTAGTAGAGCCCTTGAGTAGGTTTGATCGCCAGCACACGCCCTTCCCTCCCTCCCACCTATCCAGGGGCAGAATGGTTCGCCCTTCCCTCCCTCCCAAGTATGCAGGGGCTGAATGGTTAAGAGCACTTGCTGCTCTTGCAGGGAATCTGGGTTCCATTCCTAGCTTACAACCACCTGCTCCAGGGGATCCAGTGCCCTCTTCTGATCTCTGTGGTACCAGGCACACACGTGGACACATGGTGTGCATACATAAATGCAGGCAAAACACTCATGCATAAAATATATTTTAAAACGTTTTTTTTAAAAAGTAGCCAAGTGCTGGTCAGTGGTAACACACATCTTTAATCCCAGCACTCTTTGGGAGGCAGATCTCTGTGAGTTTGAGGCCAGCCTGATCTACAGAGCAAGTTTTTTTTGTTTTTTGTTTTTCGAGACAGGGTTTCTCTGTGTAGCTTTGGAGCCTATCCTGGCACTTGCTCTGGAGACCAGGCTGGCCTCGAACTCAGAGAGATCCGCCTGCCTCTGCCTCCCCAGTGCTGGGATTAAAGGCGTGCACCACCAACGCCCGGCCCAGAGCAAGTTTTAGGTCAGCCAAGGCTACAGAGAAACCCTGCTTTGAAAAACAAACAAAGCAAGCAAACAAAGTACCAGGCACAGAGGAAGTTTGAATTAGAATTCATAACATAAATGAAGGGGAAAAAAACAAAAGCAAATGAAGTAATGGGTCTCATTGAGTTTGACTGTCCTCACAGTATACTAAGGCTTCTTTTCCTGGATGGACATGGGTGTAAGAGTTATGTGACTCAGGAAGCAGAGCCTTCTACCACTTGGTTTCTTCCTATTAGTCTGGCCCAATACTTGGTCAGAATTGAGGAAAGCCCATAATTTGGGGGTAGCTTTCAACCCCAGACTGATTCTGTATTTGCTTACAGGCCATATACTGCCTTGTGACCTTGGTTTTCTTCTATTCATCTGCCTCATTCTGGGCCTGGGTAAGTATCCCTGTTGGGGGATATTCAATCACACTGTGAACCCTGAGTTTGCATTTGCATTAATTAAGTAAAATTAACCTGGGTCAGGAGGCTGAGTTAGCAACTAGTTGACAGAAAGTAATCATAGAGCATCAGAGGACCCCTGAAGAGATAGACACACCAAAAAGAGTAGGGAGGGACTTGGAGTGATGTGGCTTTTTTTGTCTGGCAGAGCTGAAGGAGGCTCTCTTTGGGAGAGACTAGCTAGTTACTACTCAGCCTCTCTGAGCTAGCAGGTTTTCACCCTGGCCTTTGAATCTCCAGGCTTACTTAGAATGATTGAGATTTAGTTAAAGCTACTTTTAGTGGCAGTGGCAGAGCTGGTGCCTGTGGGAACGGAATTTCCCCCAGGGAAGTAGGCCAGTAACTGCAGAGTTGCAGTTGCTGGCTAAAATAGCAGTAGGTTAAGGCACAGCCACTGTGCCACAGTTAAACAACATATCCCCATCCTGGAAAGTCAATGAATGCACAGGGTCAGTGCCTAGCCTTTGATACTCTTTTTCTTGTTTTGCAGATGGCCCTGGGCTTTAGTTTGGCAGTATATGGGGCCAGTTACCATTCTATGAGTTCAATGGCTCGAGCAGCCTTCTCTGAGGATGGGTCCTTAATGGATGGTGGCATGGACCTTAACATGGAGCAGGGCATGGCAGAGTGAGTGTCCCCCATCGCCAGCCCAGGTGAGCGGCCCCAGGGCTGGGGCGCTGGGGCCCACACAGCCCAAGACTCACAACTGCTTTCAACTTGAACAGTATGGAAGGGGGCAGAACTAGGGCCAGTCTACTATCCTTGGCAGCCTTCCTTCTATCCACAGGCACCTTAAAGACGTGATCCTACTGACAGCCATTGTTCAGGTGCTCAGCTGCTTCTCCCTCTACATCTGGTCCTTCTGGCTTCTGGTAAGTGGACTGGAGGGCTGGGCCTCTGAAGAGTGTTTACTCTCCCCACCCCCCTTCTTTGCTAGTCTTTGCATCTGGTTTCAAGTTAACCTTTTCTGTCCTAGGCTCCAGGTCGGGCCCTTTACCTCTTGTGGGTAAATGTGCTGGGCCCCTGGTTCACAGCAGACAGTGGATCCCCAGCACCAGAGCACAATGAAAAACGACAACGCCGACAGGAGCGGCGGCAGATGAAGCGGTTATAGCCATCATTATTTTGGCCACAGACTGCTGGGCGCTGGTTGGTTCTATTAGGCTGCATGGCCCAATGCCTGGAGCAGCGAGGGCCTAGATTAAGGGCAAAAGCAGCCTGAAAGATAGGATAACTAAATAAATTGTTTAAAATGTGGCTAATGGCTGTGTGGATGATAACATACAAAGTAGAAAGAATTAGTCCTATGATACTTCTTTCTTGGCTCAGGTAGGCAGAGACCTTGAAAGAGGAAAAAGGCTCTTGGATTAGCTAGGTAAACTTTATTTTGTTCCGAATAGGGAACTCACACATGCAAAATACATGTGTATGTACACACACACACACACACACACACACACACACACACACCCTAATACTGTTCACAATACTGGTTCCTGGATGCAGACTTCTGAACTAGATTTCTGCTCCAGGCCCTCTTTGTGCTCAGTCTCTTGTTGCTATAGCTGTATCCAGATAGATTTCCTGGTGTTAGCACCCTCACACCTCCAGGCCAGGAGCTTTGCTTAGTCCCAGTGCCTGCACCAGGTCATCTCCAAGCCCACTCTTCAATGTCCGTCTCACTGGAGTGACAGAGCAGGGTTACAGGTTGAGGTGTCAGGGGGATGGGGGGGAGATGAGTGGGCTTGTAAGGTGATACTCACAGGACTTGCGGTTGCCACGAGAGCGCTTCCTTTCCCGAGCAGCTAAGGCTCTAGGACTGCTTTTGGTAACTGACTGCACCAGCAGATCCATTATCTCATCTGATGTGTCACTGGGTAAACTGGAAGCTGAAGTCTCCTCAGGGGATACAGTGGAGGCCCCCACTGCTGTGTGTGTGACAGGGGAACTGCTCTGCACCATGCCTAAGGGAGACCAGGGAGGGAAATCAGGCTAAGGTAGATTAGAACACATTCCCCTAGCAGAAGCTACAAGTCCTACCTCTGCTCCGTCGGCTGTGTACGGTATCTTCTGGCCTGCTGGTAAGCAGACTCTTCATAGTGGCATGACTGTCAGCATCACCCTGTCCTGGCCCACTGCTCACAGCCACTGGGACGGACAGGTTACTGGGGGCCTCCCCAGCCACACCTGAGAACTTCTCTGTCTAAACAGGGAAAGAAGAGTGGTTAGGAGCAAGGAAAAGGAACCATGGGGTGACAGGCAAGACCTGGAAGGGCATTTACCTCAGTGATCATGCGACCCCGAGTCTTATTCCGCTCACGGTATGTAGCCCTCTTCTGCTGCTGCTGCAGTACTCGTTCCCGGCAAGTCCGATACTCAAGAGCAAACTCTCTCAGCGTGTGACAGAATTGCATGATGCGAACTTCCCGGGCTGCCTGTGCAGTGTAGCCCAAGTAGAGGAGGAAGGCATGGAACCTAGGTAGGTTGTAGTGGGAGTTTGGATAGTGAGCCTGGTGTTAAAGGATGGTGATGGCAGTCCTATCTCTAGCTCATGGCCCTACCTGTTGCAGACTCGGCGGTGCACTACCCTTAGCATGGCTACCCGGCGGGTACACTGGGCCAGGAAGTGGGTAAGGCGGGCACGCAGAGCCGGGGCTAGCTCATGCTTTGCTAAGCTCCGAAGGCTGTCCTCAGCTGCTTGGCTCCGGCACTCCAGTTGCCCCAGGTTCTCAGTCAGCTGCTCAAAGTCCACCTCAAAAGCAAGAGGATACACAACTATCCTATATATAAGTCACTGCTTGAGGTCTGAATGCTGCATTCAGTTAGCACTGCCATGCCTGGCCTGTGAGCTTTTGAAGAGTCCAGGTCTCAGCTGTGCCCCTGGATCCAGGCTGGGCAGTTTGGGCTACAGTGTTTGTTCAAATTCCACCTGAGCAACTTAGATCCTGTCTCAAAAAGTAAAAAGCAGGCAAGGGATATAGCTCAGTGGTAGAATGCTTGCTTTCATTGCAAGACCCTGAATTTAGGCTCCTGCATCATCAAAAGAAAAAAAAGTTTACAGTTTAATACAAGAGACAGACCAGTCCAATTGCTCCAAGCAAGAACAGAAAAAGCTTCTTGGAAGAAGAGGCAACTAAACAGACCGAAAGAATTGAACGGGTGTGGTCAAGCTATTAGAGTCCATTTGCAGAGGATATATTGCCCGTATCTACAGCCTCAGCAAGCTCTGGCACGGCAGCCAACTAGGAGAAGGATTCATCCTAAGAAGCAGTGCTCCACTGTACCTCAGCCAGTCTTAGTAGAGTCTCTGCCTGGTACTAACCTTAGCACAGCGGGTGAGGGCAGGGATTTCTGAGTAGAGATCAGAGGAGTCAGGCCGAGTCTGGAGCACCAGGGAACAGAGATGATACAGCAGTGACTGCCGGCGCACTGTGTCCTTCACTTCTGACACCTTCTCCAGGTAGCTCAGCTCAAAGCCACTGCTCTGAAAGGACCCTGTCTCAGTCTGGTACTAGCTGGTTCCAGAGCCTGGACCTCCTGTCCCCAAGTGCTTTCAATTACCTTGGAACCATTGAGGAAGTTGCCAACAGCCAAAAGGGTAGCCAGGATGCAACGGAAGGTGGCATTGTGCACCAGCTGTTCCATGCCCACTTTCAGATCAAATAGTGGCTCTGCAATTTCCTGGTGTGAGGGACAAGAAGCCTTCAAGCTACATGGTCATTCCTCCCCTATTCCTACCACGTATCCCACTCCATGACCCAGGTACCCGCTCCATGCTGTCATAGTCCAGCTTGAAAGCCCAGAGTTGCAGGCGTGCAGCCAGGCCTCCAATAGAAGCAAGAGTCATCAGGAAATTCTCAGCTGGGCCCAGGGGTACATCAGGGTTTGCCAGCTGGGCTTCCTCAATCTTCTGCCGCTCTTCCTCAGTGGGCATCATAGTCAGCAGTTTCTGAAGATGCACCCAGCGCCGTAGAGGCCTTCAGTACTGTCCTGAAGCCTAAGACATTGTCTCCCACCCCTCCTTAGGCCTTCTAGGGGAGCCCCAGGTTTGGGAGAATGCGCTACAGAAATGACCATGGCCATCACCAGAAGGACTGAAGGACTGAAATTCCTGCTGAACAAAAGAGAGCTAGCACTTCACTTTCCCTTCTCATATGCTTAGGGTAGTCTTACCTCAATGCCATCCTTGCTGACAGCAAATTCATCAAAGTTGAGCAGGGCAGCCTTAATGACATGCACAGGTGGCAAAGTGGTTAGGCCAATGTTGATGGCATTGCTGCGCTTGGGGTCCAGCACTGTGGTCATTGTCCGGCGGCCCTCACCAGCTTTCTGCAAGGTTGGGAGAATGACAGTTTGAGAAGGGGAAGGAATTAGCTGGGGCAGTTCCTTCAGAGGACACTCTAAACCTTTAATCCCAGCACTTGGGAAGCAGAGGCAGGTAAATCTGTGAGTTCAAGGCCAGCCTGGTCTACAAAGAAGCAACTTCCAGGACAGCCAGGGCTGTTACACAGAGAAACCCTGTCTTGGAGGGTAAAAAAGAAAAGACAAGGCACTTTAAAGCCCTTCTCTGAATGAATCTACAACTGGAGATAAGAGAGATTTAAGGCCTGGAAATAAACTGATATTTCTAATAAGGACTCTGATTCCTAGAGAGCCTCAAACAAATCTCCTTTCTCTGTATTTCTCCATGTGAGAAATAAGGAACTAGCTCCAAAAACTCAGCTCCCCTGAACTCCCAATTCTGCCCGTCAAGTTGATTTACCTTGGTGGGTAGTACATCCTTGGCCCGGGACTCAAATAGGTGTTCCAGCCGGGCTGTGTCTACTGAGACAGGTTCTAGAGAGGCCCACAGGGTAGGGCAAGGTCCAAAGCGGTTTCCAGAGAACCCAGGGCCCCCAGCCAGCTTTAGTTCCCGCCAGAAAAGTTTGACTGTCTTCCTTTTGGTGGGGAGGGTTGGGCCATCAAGTGCTGAGCGGGAAAAAGGGGCAGCCAGGGGTGGAGGTGGCGGACAGGAACCTAAGATGGGGGGGGGAGGTGGAGGTGGAGGTGGGGGTAAGGATCCTAAGATGGGTGGGGGAGGTGGAGGTGGAGGTGGGGAACCCCCAGAGAGTGAAGATGGTGGATGTGGTAGAAGTGGGAACGTTTTTTCAGACTCCACAGATGCCATGTTTAATGTGTCCTGGTCTTCATCCTCCCCTAGATCTGAGAAGTCCAAGTCCCCAATGCAGAGCTTGGGGACACGGGTAGGAAGCTCGTGGACAGGCTCAGCCTTGGGACTTGGTGGTAACACTGGCTCCTTGGGTTCCGGCTCAAGGCTCTGCTGGGTCCGGAGCAGGATTCGGGAAACAGGGCTCTGAGGTGTTCTAGGTGCAGAGGCTGGCTCTGGGGAGTCCCACAGTTCCCTGGTGCCTAGCAAAAGGTAAGTAACTGTCAGTTGCATGCCCTCTATGGGCAAGAAAGCAACATGGTGGTGGGGGTGTGGAGAATGCTAGAGAGATGGATGGCTGAGCAGTTAAGACCCTGACTGAGTTCAGTTCTCAGCACTTAAAGCTGGGTGGCTTACAACCAAGCACTCTTAACTCCAGTTTCAGGGCTCTAATGTCCTCTTCTGACCTTTGTGGATACCCATAAATGTAAGGCATACACGCTCACACACACATACAAATAAAAAAGGTTTGGATAATACATATCCCCCCGCCCCAAAAACATTTTTGCAGTGGTGGTAGCATATGCCTTTAATCCCCATACTCTGTGAGTTTGAGGCCAGCCTAGTCTACAGCGCAAGTTCCAGAACAGCCAGGGCTACACACAGAGAAACCCTATCTTTACAACAAAATAAGCTGGGGTTTGAGAGATGGCTTAGTGGTTAAGCAAGCTGGCAGCTCTTCCAGAGGACAAGGGTTCAATTTCCAGCACCCACATGGTAGCTCACAACTGCCTGGCACCCTTGCACAGTCATACATGCAGGCAAAAATGTCAATGGACATAAAAATAAATAAATTTTAAAAATAAACCCTTTTTAAAATACAACAAAACAAGCCGGGCAGTGGTGGCACATGCCTTTAATCCCAGCACTCGGGAGGCAGAGGCAGGTGGATCTCTGTGAGTTTGAGGCCAGCCTGGTCTACAGAGCAAGTGCCACAACAGCCAAGACTGTTTCACAGAGAAACCCTGTCTTGAAAACAAACAAAGAAGAACAAAAAAAATTCATGTGTATGAGTGTTTTGCCTGTATGTATGTGTGTGCAACAAGTGTATGTGTGGCACTTGTGGAGGTAATAGTAACATCAATTTTAAAAAAGAGGCTATGAATTTGAAAAAGCAAGGTGAGAGGTACAGGGGAGAAAAGGAAGGAGAAAATGATATAATTATAGCGTAATTTAAACATTATTAAGGGGCTAGAGTGATGGCTCAGTGGTTAAAAGCAATGGCTTCTTTTCCAGAGGACCCAGGTTCATTCCTAGCACCCACAGGGCAGCTCACAACTGTTTGTAACTCCAGTTCCAGAGGATCCAACACTCTCACACAGACATACATGCCGGCAAAACACCAATACACATAAAATGAGCAAAACTTTCAAAAATTATTAAGAAGGCAGCATAGGATTCCCCCAAACTAGAGTTATATAGATTGTTGTGAACTACCATGTGAATGCTGGGAATCAATGAAATACAGGTCCTCTGCAAGAACAACAAGCTCTCTTAACTGCTGACTGAGCCATCCCTCCAGCCCTTAGGGCTGGTTTGTTTATCTTAAAAAGAAAATAGTGTGATTGGATTCTGCCTGAGCAACTAACTACCCACCTGATGGTGACGATCCATCAGTCTCATCCACTGTGGCTCCAGCCAGTGTCTCTGCCCGGCCCTGGGCCAGAGCAGCCTGCTTCTCTGTTTCTGCTGCTGCCACATTCTCCAGGAACCGGGCTCTGGGGAGAGGTACTTGTCAGTGATAGTGTCTGACGCAAGTCCAGCCCAGGGTGGTAAACATGCCTTGCTGAGCTACTGGGCACTGCCCTCAGTTGCAAGCACACACAGGCACAGGGAACAGTCCATGCACTAGACACACCTCTGCCCACTCCACCAAGGCTCAGCCCCATTCATTCCTATATATCTGGGGAGTTACAACCAATTTAGCATTCTTGGCAAAGTATAAAAGTTCCACTTGACATCTAATTTGCAGCCTTGCTGAATCTAGATAAGACCTGTAGAGTAAGGGAAGGGGGTAGTTGTCCCAATGGGCACAACAGACTTTCTCTTGCATGTCTGTCTGCTTTTAAGAGTTATGCTTGAGAAAAGGGCCTGTTAAACAGTGTGCACTCAGTTTGTGCTGAAATAATGAATGTGATCTATTGCTGTCTTCCTTTCTTCCTGTTCCTTTTCATCTTTCCTCTCCCCTCCTCATTTCCCCCTTTTTTGAGGAGAAGTCTCATGTAGGCCAGACTAGCCCAAAACTCACTATGTAGCTGAAGATGACCTTGAACTTCTGATCCTCCTAACTGCACCACCAAGTGCTCGGATTACAAGGTGTGTGCCACCAAACCTGTCTCCAGGGTTTCTAGTCCCTTCAGCCCCTGTTAGTTCAGTCCCTGCCCTTCCTCCAGCCTTAGTTCCTCCACCATCCACACCACACTTTAAATACCTCTCCAAACTCATTCACAAGCTATCTGTCCATATCCATATCTCTGGTCTAAGCTACTCAGGCATCACTATCACTACAGTCTCAGTGACCTGCTCCCTGTGCTTCAGTGTTTGGGTTACTAAGGAGGCATACGTCTGGGAGAAGAGGTTTCTGAGAATCCTTCTAGTAGGGTTATATGAACTCCTGCTGGGCAAGCAATGCTGAAGCCCTGAGCACATGGCAGACCTGGCAGACTGGCCTCTGTACTTACTCTAACCTGGCCTGCCCAGTAAGGGACTGGGGGACAGGTGGGCTCTCAGGGGCGCTGAGTAAGGGGATGAGAGAAAGACATGGTAACTATGGTGCCAGCTCCATTCCAAAGTCCATTTGTTGTACCCATACTGAGCTGGACAGTGGTGTCACAGTTCCTTCCCATCCACAGTGGTAGGAAGAGAGCTAGGATGGCAGGACATGGGGAATTGGAAGTGGTAGAAACAGACAGGAAGCTGGACAAGGTACAGTAATAACAAGGACAAAGCAAAAGGAGTGACAGAAATGGAAGGGCAGAAGGTGAAGAGGAAGACATGACAAGAGGCCACGGCAGGTGAGGTGAAACACAGGAAATAAATAAAGAGAAGACACAGAAGGAGGAGGTCCAGTCAGAGCCAAGCCTCACCCTCCTGCAGTCACTTACCAAACGGGAGCAGTTTGGTGAAGTCTGAAAAGAAAGAGAAAGCACGCGTTTGGGCAGAGGAGGCTGAGCCCGTGGAGGGGCGCAAAGTGGAGGGACAGCTGGAGACAGGGCCTGGGGGTAGGGCTCTATTTCCCTACTTACTTGTAGATGCTTCTTTCACAGGAACTGTCCACTGATGGTCCCACAGAAATGGTAGGAAAGAGGTTCACTGAGGTACGGAGGCCAGAGGCTGGGCCAGTAGGGCTGATGCCTGGACTTGTCAGCAAGGTGGGGCCAGGGAAGGAGGTGGAGCCTACTGGTGAAGCAGGGCCTGTAGAGCTAGAGGCAAGGCCTGTTAACAGACAGGGTCATGCCTGGCAGATTCACCCCTTCGTATATGCCCAGGCATGTACTTACCCTGGTTCTGGGGTACGCACAGGACAGCCTCCACCTTCTAGTGACCTTCTGCTCCTTTTGCCCTCCTCTGAGGATGGCTTCCGTCGCTCTCGTCGGCCACCTGCAGCTGCAGCAGCTGCAGCCTCTTCCATATCTCCATCCTCAAAGCGAAGGGCACTCTAGTGGAGGTGGCCAAGATGTGAGCAAGCAGCTGAGGCCTGAAAAATGGGACAGGTACTAGGGAACTGCACCCCTCCCTCCTAACCCACCTCATAGAGCATTAGCTGTGTTCGCAGGTCAACATCAGTGCCAGAAGTGCCCAAGAGGCGTTGGACCAGTGCTTCCATGCCCTGCTGCTCCAGGGCATCTGTCACATCATAGAAGGAGTCCTGGTCTGGGAGTGCTGCCAGTGTCTGGAAGGTGGGGTTAGGAAGCCAAGGCTGAGGTTGACGTGTGGGGATCATGGGCCAAGGGTCCACAGGTAGCACTTGGTCCCAGTTTCATACCTTGTTAATAAGAGTGACAGTGTACACCAATAGCTCTGGGTCAGCTCCATTCTTCTCTTCCAGGATGGACACCAAGTTGGCCCAGGGAAGAGTACCTGCCACATGGGAAGGGAGGTAATCATGGGAGTGGGAGCAGTAGGAGAGAGGGCTAAGTGGCAGAGAAAGGAAAGGATAGGCTCTGACCGGTGGTGCTGGCTACAGAGTTGACTGCCTGGATGAACAGCGGTGCATTGTTCTCAGAATACTCCACAAACACCAGCAGCAGCTTCAGGGCTGTCTTTACCACCAAGCGGGACTAGGAGAAAAGGCAATTCACATGAGTGGGGCTTGGACCAGACTATTAGTTCCTGGAGGAAGGGGAAGGACTCCTGGGGCTAAACCCAAAGAGAAGGGTCTAGGTAGAAAGACCCAGGTTCTGGGCTGTGCTTGAAAGTGCCATTTAGTTTTCAAGGGGCCTCAGGCTTACTCCAACCCTTCCTACTTTGTAGAAGGGGAAACTGAGGCTCAGAAGGAAACACTAGGGAAAGGGTACATATGTTTGTATAAAGCCACTTACCAGGCTAGCACACAGTGTGTACAGCCACTGCACAGTCTCACTATGGGCCACCACCCCCAGCATCCCATCCACAAAAAGCATCAGCTGGCCCAGGGCTAGAGAAAGAAATGGGAAGAGGTTAGTGGGGATGGGTGGGTGGGTATGGGAACAAAGGTCAAGGGGAAAGTAGAGCTGACCTCGAAGGATGTAGCTCTGGTAGTTGTGATCAGCAGCAGCACCCACACGGATGAGGCAACTCAGCCCCTCTGAGTGTACAAATTCAGGCACCAGGTCCTTGTCTTCCTGAAGGCACCATGGGGAAGTTTAAGTGGGCTTAGGGTGGACACCAACCCTCTGCCCAGCTCTGGATCTTACCTGGAATATCTGCTTTAATGAGAAGAGAGATCGGCGGAGCTCAGGGCCACTGGAGCCATACAACTTTTCTGTAAGGGGTAAGTGGTTGTGAACAGCTCAAGGGAACGCAGGCAGTGTCTTCTTCCACTAGTACATACCTACAACCTCCTACCAAAGAAGACTCTAGTATTCTCAAACCTCCCTTCTACTTTCTGACTCTGGGTCCCCTCCTCTGTCACCGATACATCAGTCCAACTGTGGCATCAGTCTTGACCCCAGAAGGAAATATCAGAAAAGGGAGAGAGGAGGACACATCAGATTTCCAATCCACTCAATCCATAGTCCAGCACAGGCCTGAAAGGAGCTAGTCCAACTAGGCTACAAAGGAAAAGCAGGGAATAAGACAGCTGGGGATTGCTGGACACCAAAGATGCCACATACTTACCCAAGATAGCATTGACCCTCACAGAGAGCTGGGTCCGCAGGATCAATGTGGGCTTCCGCCCTTTGCTAAAATCAAGCAGCCATGTTAGTGGTTCCCAGATGATTCCTCAAGATCCCACCCTCAAAGCAAAGACATCCACATGTGAACCCTGGCCCATTCCTTCCCTCCTAACTGCTATTCCAGGGTCCAAATGTTAGCCAAACAGGAGAGTATGTATAAACATAAGTAACAATATGTGGGAGTGCCCCTATTTCCAGGTAATAGTGGGGATCCCCCAAGCATCATTCCCTGCGTTTACCTACACCCCAGGCTACAGACTGTCTGAGCTGCTGATACCTGAGCTGGACCCTGGTGGGGACAAGGTTGGGGGCTTTGACCAGATCCATTCAAGCCCCTGAAAAGAAGAAGGAAGGGTTCCCTAACCTCCCTCACCCTTTCAGCTCTGACCTGATCTCTTCATAGAAGCCTTCCAGCATCTCCCGCTGTTCTTCTAGGGATAGCTCCGGGTCCAAGTAGTATCCTGATGGAGACACTTGCAGTGCACAGTCCTCCAGCTAGGAAATCAAGGAATACAGCTCTTAGGGCTAGTGCTACACTCAGATTGTTGTTTGTTTTGTTTTTGTGCTATGGGGAATCAAGCCCAGGACTTCCCACATGCTAAACCATTGAACTACACAGCCCTGGATTTTTGGTTTGTTTTGTTCGTTTGGTTTTTGCCTTTTATTTTATGCTAACAAACATAAATGAGGAAGGGACATGAAGGAGGATAGCAGGAAGTTACTGCCTTCAAGGAAGTTCACAGCCTTGTGGGGTGATAAGCTTCAGCCACAAAAGCATTCAAGTTCAGAAAGAAAGTGTTAAGTGTTCAGGGAGGTGCAAACCCAGTTGGGAGTTTCTTCCAGCAGAATATGGCACAGATACTAGTCCACAGACTCCCTAGTCCCTCTGCTTCTCAAAGGCTTTCTGTCCTTTTCCCACGTGAGCTACAGTTACAACCATTCTAGATTTTTAAGTCTAATGCTGTCAGACCTCAGATAGGAAGGCACCAGCTCCATCTACCTTCATTTTTCATGTTTCCCTCCTGTAATCATGGCTTACCACTTTAAAAAATGGTTATAGGGGCTAGAGGGATAGATTCGGTGATTAGGAGCACTTGCTGCTCCAGCAAAGGACCTGGGTTCAGTTTCCAGCACTCCCATGGCAGCTTACAACCATCTGTAACTCCAATTCCCAGGGTTCTGATACCTTCTGCTGGCTTCCACAGGCACCAGGCACATTGGTAGTGCACATACATAAATGAAAGCAACACACTCATAACCATTCAAAATAAAAATTAAAATCTAAAAAAGGAGAAACTGTTTATAGCAAAGCCTAACTCCTAATACTCTAGGAGCAACCCTGTGCCTCTCCCTCATACTTCCCGCATTGGCACAGTGCTGATATGCAGAGCTAATGACAATCCCTCTACCTCTGGGGAGAAAGGGGGTCTTCTGGTGGCTATCTCACTGGGCAAGTCACCAACAGTTTTCCTGGGATTTGGTCAGCTCTGCCTTGCTCTGAACCCCACCCAAGGGCTTTCAGCTATTCTTGGTCCCTGGAGGGACAGGGAATCAAGCTCCCTGCCCCTGCCTCTGGCTAACACCCATTGCTCTTTGCCTCAGAGCCTGACCTGGCTCCTTCCTGGCAGTTTAGCCTTTGGGGCTCTTGGGTGATCCCCCACCCCCACCCTGCCCCTTGCCTGGGACATGGGACACAGGACAAACACTCCAGCCTGTTCTCTGTCCAACTTCCTGCCTGGCTGCCTGCCCTCCCTTGGGCGCCTTGGACGGGCCTGGCCTTTCTCTTCTTCCAGGGAGCAGAGTCATCTCCTGGGTCTACTGGGAAACAGGTCTGAGAGGAGATTGCAAGTTCTCAGGGCTGGGGTATCTCATCAGGGCCAGAGCTCAACTGAGGGTAGCCTTCCCCAGGCCCACCCCCATGTAAGCCCAGCTACATGGCCCCAGTGTTGCTTGGACTGCAGGATCTGGGGCCCTTAACATGCCTCCCCCAGGGATTGCCTCCAAATCACACACAGAATAGCTCATTTATTGGAACACCCATGAACCAGAGACTGGTTTTAGGTCTGCAGGAAACACCGACAAGTCAGCTCTGACTCAGAAAAAACTCACTAGTAAGTATGGATTCACAACTTCTGTGAATTCTAAGGATGTACCAAACTACTATAAGTACCTGACAACCACTTGCACACCAAGGTCTGTGGCCAGGAATGGCTGAGCACAGGCCAAAAGCACATCCAGAGATGTTAGGCCCACCATACTATCCTGCCTTCCTCCATGTACCCTGTTCAACCCTAAGTAAGCAGAGAATGGTCCTCTCCCTCCAGGATGTGATTTGGGGCAAGGGGCACAGTCCCAAAGGACACATGACCATCACTCCAGCCTCCTCAGCTACATAGGTTTAAGCTTTTGTCATGGATGTAGACGTGGCCTCCCCAACTATTTCACCCATCCGATCCTGCTAGTTATAGGAAAAGATCTAGAGATCATTCAGCCTGGTGTCTCCAGGTCTGCTTCCGCTCTCAGTGGTCTGTCCGGAGTAGATGTGGGAGGTTGAGGGCCAGGATCAGGCCAACAGCAAGAAGGATAGACTTCTTGTCAGCAAGATGGTGCTTATCCTTCACACTCCTGGCCCCTTGCTGGGATCGCCATTCTGAGAGGCAAACCTCTGGGACTCTTTTCTCACACCCTGGGACTGGGCCAGGTTTGAGCAAGCCCAAACCCTAATCTTTGATGACACTGCTTTAGGCTAGCACAATGTATGGGCCTCCATCCTCCACCCTGGCTTCTGTCTTCCTCACTTCTGGCCTCCATCTTCTGGGCAGTCCCTTCCTCATTCTTCCCAAGCTTCCCTCAAGTTGGCCTCCAGCCATTGTTATCTCCTTAGTCTCCCAGCTCAGGCTTTTCTGGCAGCCCAAAAGCACAAGTACCTTGGTCTTTTGCAAGAATAATAAAGGCTCCTACCACAGGGTAATTTCTCAAGCCTCTGTCTTTGTTTTTGTTTGTTTGATTTGGATTTTGGAGATAAGCTATGTAGCACTGGCTATCCTGGAACTCACTTTGTAGACTAGGCTGGTCTTGAAATCACAGAGATCCTCCTGCCTCTGTTTTGGGATTAAAGGTATGAACTACTACACCTGCTTCCTCTGTTTTTTAATAAATAAATAATTTTTAAAAAATATTTATGTATTTATTACAGTGTTTTGTCTGCATATATGCCTGAAGGCCAGAAGAGGGCACCAGATCTCATTACAGATGGTGTGAGCCACTATGTGGTTGCTGGGAATTGAGCTCAGGACCTCTGGAAGAACAGCCAGTGGCTCTTAACCTCTGAGCCATCTCTCCAGCCCCAAAATTGTTTTTTATAGAGCTGGAAATCAAACCCACAGCCCTTTCCATGCTAGGTAAGTACTAAATCACTGAGCCACAGCCTTACTTTATTATTATTTGTTATATATTATTAGTTATTATGCTGTACATTTATTTATTTACTTATTTAGAGACAAGATTTCATGTAGTCCAGGGTGGCCTCAAACTCACTATAGCTGAAGATGATTCCTGATTCTCCTGCCTTTCTGTTCTCTAGGATTACAGGTATAGGCTACTACTCGGGACTGACATAGGTTGTTTTTTGGGTGGGGTTAATATTCTTGAGACTTTTATATATATGGTTTCATATGCAGATCAAGCTGAGCAGACCAAGGTGTCTACTCCCTATTAAAAAATTATTTATTTACTTACTTCTGTGTGTATGAGTATGGTTGTGTGCATGCCAAGATGTTCATGGAAGCAGAGGACCAGGCCTCATTTATTGTGTCTTTACCCTGAGCCAAATCACTAGCCCCCTACTGTTTTTGATGACAATGTAATCATGTAAGAAATAATAGATAGGACAGGGAACAATGAAGATAGAGGGCAGGGTGAAATTCATGCTGAAGGACTCTTGTTTTAGGAAAATAATTGGACCTCCGAATACAGGACCCTTTGCTCTGAATAGCAAGCTTTCTGTTATCTGAGGCTCCAGCTACACAGTGACTTCCTGGATGAGCTGAAAAGGATGTACCTTAGGCAAAGAAACCTGCCTTTGTTATGCGCCTCTTCAGTGCTAGATAAACAAATTGCCTTTTAAAGGCAAAAAAGACAAAAAGATAAGGTATCCTGTAGACCAGGTTGGCCTAGAACTTGTAAAATAGCTGAGGCTGACTTTTCCCAGTATTAGTTTGGTATTGTAGCTTGGCTTACAATACCTGGTTTTTGTTCTTTTCTTTTTTTCTCCTCTTATCTCTCCTACTTCCTTTCTTCTCCTCTTCCATTATGGACAGGGTCTCTTAGCTTCAAACCCATGGCAATCTTCCCGACTTAACCAGGCCTCACTTTAGGCTGCCTGTTTCATTTGATTTTTCCATTTTAACAAGCAATGAAACCAAAGTTCAGAAATAGTCAGGCACAGTGCTGTACACCTACAATATTATCACCCAGGAGGCAGAGGCAGGAGGATCTTCTCAAGTTCTAGCCAGTCTGATGTATGACATCCACATTGAGTTCTATGGCAGCCAGTGATATATAATGAGACCCAATCTCAAAAGAACAAAGTAACAGAGCCTTTAATCCCAGCACTAGGGACTGAGATAGTGGAGCAGGTGGACCTCTGTGAGGTCCAGGCCACCTGGGCCTTCACAGAGAGATCCTGTCTCAAAAACAAACAAACAAACAAAAATCCAAAACAAGACAAAAAGAAATATTGTGAATTGCCACAGGCAAACAAAGCCCATAATGGAACCAGGGTTAACTGACTATATCTTAAGTGGATGGCTCTTGGAAATGTTCCAGAAAACCTTGACAGAGAAGTGGATGGAGGGCGGGGGACCTACAATATTGCTTCTAAACTTCTTAGATTCTGCAAATACCCAAAACTTGTCTCCCCAGTTCTAGTGAAAGAATACAAATAAACAAGCACACAAACACTAGGAAAACTGTCTATTTTTGCCGGTTACCACTCCCAGGATCTAGGCTGTAGGGTCATCTCTTACCAGACCCTGCAACCCTCAGCTTCTTTAGTTTAGAAGGACCAACAGATGGAACATGCAGACTACAGAAGACTAGGGAACTGCAGTTCATGCCCCTACTTCAGATTTCTAGTTTTCCAGAGACTCCCATAGCAGAGGACTAAAGAGCTCAGTTTATCAACAGATAAGTGCTCCCTCCCCCACCACATACACACAGTCCTCTTAATCCTTAGGGGGTTGGGCATGGCAGCATATGACTATAACATTTGCATTCATGAACCTAAGGCAAGAAGAATGAGAATTTGAAGACACTGTGTGAAACCACATTTCCTGGAAAAAAAAAAAAAATCCTAGGTGGAGGAATAGGGTGGGTGGGGATGTTAGCTCAGTTGTATAGTGCCTGCCTAACCTGCATAAGGCCCTGGGTTTGATCCTGCAGAAAACAAAACAAAACAAAACAAAATCTTTGGGGACTCCTTCGGTTGGCATCTATCCGGGCAGGTCAAATTCACACTTGAGCTTTCTTGCCACAAGAGCTATGAGGGGTAAACTGAGGCTGGAGCAGAGTCAGGGCATATTCTGGGACCTTTGTCCACCTTTGCTCTTTTTTAGTCACAGCTAGCTGAGGAAACTAATGATATGACCAAACACTGAAGGGCAATCCTTGCTGTCAGTAAGGCTCTCCAGCCTTTAACACAAGGTCCAAGAAGCATTCTAGGTCCCCCTGCCCAGAGCCCAAGGAAATAAATGCCAGTGACATACCAGGTGCAGCAGGGCTTGGCTCTCAGGAAAAGTTTCTAGGGCTCTTTCCATAAGGAAAGATACTTGTACTTGTGTTAGACTGGAATTAGGGTTTAAGACATCAAAGGGTCAATTCTCTTCTGGGCAGGGCAAGTCCTTAAACTGAAAGAGCCCAAGCTTATATGGGAGGAAGACTCTTCGAGTTTCCCTAGGGACACTAGGCCTAGCCTATGGTATTGCCAGGCTCCCCAACCCCCAAACAGAAGATGAGTCAGAGGCTGTGGCCAGGAGCTTCCTCCTAGACATGGAGGAAATGAGCTAAGTTTCTCAGACTGGCAAGCTCTGAGTCGCTTAAAAAGGGTGCCCCTGGAGGAACTGGAGTCCAGTAGGGTGAGGGGTAGGACCCCAGGGAGGCTTCAGGGTCTGCTAGGGTGATAGAGAGAGACCAGTACCCAGAATGGCAGGGCTCTTGATTGTAATCTACTTTCTTCCAGACAACTACACATAGAATGAAGCAGTGGACAGGGAGAACCTGTCACCCTATTTTTGCCCTATAGCCTACAACAGGGATATCTGGCTTTCCAGCCCATCTCTTCCTTCTGGAAGGTGAGCAAGGTATACTGTGCTTCTGGGACACCCACTTATACACTCTGGAGAGGAACCAGCTGTTGAAATGTCCTGCAGGGAATCCTGCTTTTCTCCTCCCTCAGTTCTCTGATGTCCCTGCCCCTGCCCTATTCTCAATCCCTCTTCCTCCAGCCTTCTATTTTGAGTCTGTGGTCACAGTTTATATTTGGGACAAGCACATCACAGTGCATCTGACCATTCCTGGCAAAGCTGTCAACTCCAGGGGGTTCTGGCTCTAAACAGTGTAACTTTATGCCTTTCCCAAAGCCTCGCAGTGGGGGAAGGAGCAGATTTCCGAGCAGCAGGTAGGAGATCCTAAAGGTGGTCACACCAAGAGGTACAGAGCTAGAGTAGGAAACACATCTTTCATGGAGCTCAATTGTGTCCTCAGCTAAGAAGCAGAGAACAAGACACAGCACCTGGTTGAGAAGACAGTCTTGTATCCATCCATTCATACTTCTATACACCCAAACACACACACACACACACCACTGAACCCAGGAGCCTTGTTGTACAGGCTAGAAACATGCAGTCAGTTTTCTAAATGAAGTAGGAGGCTCTGAACCTCATTTTTAAATAACCCAGGCCTGCTTCCAACTGTGAAGGGGGGTGTCCTAGAGTGAGGGAATGAATTATTGCCTTCTTTCTAGCGTTATGAATATATATATTTGTGGTATGGGGGAGCAAACCCAGGACCTTGCATATAAATGCTATGGCTTTAGAGCCTGCCTTATTTCTGGCCAAGGACTTTTTATTAGTTTAGAGGCTAAGTGGCCTCAGTTCCACATCTCTTTCTCCTCAATCTGTCCGAACATTTTTAGTTCAGCACCCTTTTCTCTGTAGTCAGACTGAATGCCAGGGGACCTCAGACTGGACATGCTTTCTCCAGACCCCTTTGTGAACAGAATAGGAGGAGCTGACTGCACCAAAACTCTGGAGGTGGGCATATTGTTGCATCCTTCCAGCTGTGGTCTTAAAGCTGGGGCTCTGCCTGGATACCCGCCACTCCCCAGGCCAAGTTTCCCGGACCCCTCCTGCCTGCACTTGGAGGCGGGGCTGGCTGCAACGCAAGGAATGCAGTCTGGGGGCCTGGAGCTCAGGGCACATTCCAGGGGAGACCCCGGGCCTAGGGGCCATGTTTGCGCAACTCCGCGCCCAGTAGAGGCACCCCACCGACTCCCTCCCTTCTTCTTCACTGCTTCCAGCTAACCCACAGGTCGGGAACCCTGGGGGTGGTAGTCTGTATGCCTCCGGGAGTCCTGGCCCGGAAAAAGCAAGCCGGAAAGGGATGCCTGCGGGGGGTAGGAGGAGGCAAGCTGGAGGGAGGGGTGGTCCCGCTGGCCATCTGGAAATGAGCCTCTTAATTGTGCAAAGTCAGCCTAGGAACGCCGGCAAACTAGGGCAGGCCAGCAGTTTAAAATTAGCCTGGCCCGCCCTCTCCCTTCCAGGAGTAGGCTACCAGCGGCGGGCCTAAAGGACCGTGGGGGCGGTGACTCAAAGGGCTTTTCCACCCGTGCGTGCTCCGCAAAGCTAGGGCTTGGCTGCTTCCAAGGGACTCCTCTTATCCTGGAGGGCACTCCCAATCTCCACTAGCCTGGGAGAGACGGTATTCCAAGGACCCACTCCCCTCCAGGTCGTCCCTAGGCCCGCCCCTCTTTGTGGCCCCGCCTCCAACTTACCTGAAGCAGGTGGAAACCGGCCCCTCCCAACTCCACTTCCCGATCCGCTACAACCCGAAAGGCTACTGAACCCCTGCCCACTGCAGCATCCCTGGCAAACAGGCAGCGAGGGGACCCCAAGCACCTCTTCAGGAGGGCCTTACTTTTAAGGGAAGCCGGGTGGAGCAAATCACAAACTCTCTCATTTTCCTTCTACAATGTCTCAATTTGAGTCTCCCCCTGTAGGCAGAGTAGCGTAGATCGTGGGACCCCGGCCGGAGACTTTTCCGGAGGCGAGCATCCGCTACAGTCTCTATGCTAGAAGCACTGCCTACCGCCCTCCTCAACCTCCGAGCGCAAATTTCTCCGTAGCCCCCTCACCTTGAGAGGCGCCCCCAGGAGGCGGTGCAGCGCAGGGATCTGCGCACTCAGGGGCAGACCCCCGTCCAGGCTGCAGGTAGGGGCCCGGCGTGGTTCCGGGAAGTTGGCACATGCGAAAGGGTCGGTGTCTTCCAGGTACTGCACTCTCACGGTTACCACTGATACTGGGTCCCCATCCCCGCGGTCTTCCTCGCCCGCCATGGCTCTGCCACCGGCTATTACCGGACGCCTCTGTGTCCCGGCACTGCTGCAACTTCAGCCCGACTAACTTCGCTGTTTGGGCCGGGCCCGGACGCTGGGGACTGGAGGGGCGGAGCCAGAAGGAGGTGGGGCTGAGGAAGAGGGTGGAGCCAAGACTAGGCTGAGAGCGCGCGCTTGGGGTTAACCACTGCCAGAGGCGGCGCTTGGGTCAGCCACTCAGAGAGCTGGTGATCCCGTTAGTTCCACTGGTAGGAGGGCGGGAAAACCCGAGCTCCCGCTCCGCCTCAGAGCAGAGGGCGGGGAGACTTGCCTTAGTCTTGGTGTGGGCGAGGCTGCAGCGGGTCTTTGCGGGGATCTCCGGGCGTAAATCTCTTCGGATACTCCCTTTTAGCTGGGCCACTCTCAGTTTAGGAACGAGGCGGGACTAATTATCAGTTTGAAAGATCAGTGGAAGCATTTCTCTCATTGGAGAAAGCAATGAGAAGGATCTCTTCCAGTTTGGAACAAGAAGTGAAAATAGATTTCATATCTGAAGGAAGAGGTGGATTCAGTTCCCTTTAGCGGGGGGGGGGGGGAGAGGACGAGTGCTCTTTCTCGAAAAAGAATGGAATGAGTCAGTGTGAGGAGGCAGGTAGCACATGTTCCTTCAGCTTGGGTGATGAATGAAAAGTGGAGACAGTCTTCAGTTTGGGGCGAGATGAGTCAAATGCCCCAAGTTGTTCCTACTTTAAAGGGAATTCCGTAAGATCCTCTTAGATACATGGAATAGGTGAATAGTGCCCTGTAGTCTGAAGGGAAGGGAAGGAGGAGCCTCTCCGTTGCGGAGAGAAGAGGAAGAGCCTTCTTTACAACCTAAAATGAGCTGGGATCCGTCCTGGCCTTGAGGTTTCTGAGTACGTTGAGGGCAGCGTTGTCCACCAAGGCTTTCTGGGCGTGCTCAGTGCGCGTGCGCAGCTCTGTTCTGGGCCGGTAGGGGGTCCCAGGTTTTGGAGATTGTGTTAGAAGGCAGCAGCGCGCCGCCCCCTGCGGTTTTCACAGCGTGCAGCGGCCTGAGCACCGCGGGCGGATGGCCCGCAGCTGGGCGGCATTCTGCGGAGTAGCCGCACTTGTCTCTACTCCCCGAGACCCCTGTCTTTTCCGCTGCCCCCGGGACTCGGTGGCTGGTCACCTCTCTGAACCCCGGTGAGAGGAGGTTTAGGGGAGCATACTCGAAGGAGTGGGTTTCAGGACTAGGGGAAAGGAGAGCTACGCGGGGGAAATTCTGTAGGTGAGACTAACCTAGAAGAGATGGAGGAGGGGTTCCCAACAAGAGTCCTGGGCAGGGTGTCGGGGTCCGAACCTGTCCCG